ATTATATATAAAAGTGATCCTTTTATTATATAAAGATGATCCTTCCTGTCTCATACGAGCCTATGCATCACATACATATAAAAGGAATACGAAGGAAAATCAATCTAAACGTTTGTATAATTGAAATCGGTGTTGTGTACTAATCAAATTTCCGCGGTTGGCCAACTAGCAACCTACGTGTAAACTTTCCAGACAGTGTATGCAGCCCGTGCATATAGTTCTTGCTTGCAGTTCTATGCAATTTCTATGCGATCCGAATCAATGAAGTGGATATAAGTATCGTGTACAACATTGTTTCTCGAAATCTTTATTAATACCGCTATTAATATTTAAAAACAATCTGAATTAAAAGAGAAGCAAAAGGAAAATTAAAAATTTTCATGTACATCACTGGAAGCCGTATAATTGCCTTCTGGTAAATGAAACAGTTTATACTACAATATGATGGAGCAATTAAAGCGATGAAACAACGAATTATTCATTTTATAATTAGTTTTATAATTAATCCGAGATGATATCCAATTCAGAACGACCAATCCTGTTTATGCTCCGTTTTACTATAATATTTAGTATTATATTTAATTTGCATTTTTAAACGTAAAAGCGAGAGACGCACGCCGTAAGATTAACATCACTTGAGAAATTTATGACAAAGATAAAAAGGTTTGTCTTCCGACGAGCTAGAATTATTTTATTCCTTTTAACGATCTCGAGGATTAAAATCTACAGATATTTTTTCGAATCGGCATGTATTATGCAAGTTCGAGTCCTTCGGTTCTCTATTAAAATGTCGTAGGGTGGAACTTAGATAGGGGCCATTATTCATCGACAATACAGCAATCAGGCTTTTCTGAAAGAAGCCTAGTCAGCTTTTTGCAAAGTATCATTAATATTTCTACTAAAAATTGAGAAAATATATAAATTGAGAAGAATTTTTCGAAATTTGAACGAAATTTTTGTAATATTGCCAGTTTTATTGCATTTTTTACATGTGCATACATATATCTTTTCACGCATATTTGAACATATATATATTGGAAAAATATCTGCATGGTTATCACGCGATCGAGATTACGTGAAACATTCAGACGCATTTCGACTCTTTGAGTGATAAAGTTTTTGATAAATCTGAAATTTATATAAACATAAGCTGAACTCAAAGGAGCAAAATAAAAATTGAAAATTTTTCTATTTATTTATATATCGACTTATAACTATAAAGCCAAATTAGGGACAACCCAGTTTTGCTTATGATTGCTTTTCACTAAAAATAATTTTGGCGCGCAATTTACAGAACTGGATATGCATATAAATTCACATCAAAAATATTATTTAAGCACTAAGATTCAGCTCAGACTGTTGAAATTTTTATTGCAATTGTGTATTCATAATCCGATCTTAAGATATTTCGTTCAAGCTTATACATCTAAATCTTGTGTTAAACTAGAACTCTGTTAGTAATTTAATAAGCTGTGTATTTTTATGTATTTTGATATAAATTTCACATATATCCTTGAATTCTTTAAATATTTATATCGTATATTGCATGACATATAAAAATATAAATAGTATATTATCCTGAATTCTGACGTAAATTATTATAGATCGTCTAAAGCGAGCTCAAGTTATAATTATTTTTTTATTAGGATAAATGATTATTTAGGATAACATGAGATTGATATCTTTTTAACAGAAATGTGATGCGAGATATGATCTCTAGCAGTGCTTATTAGAACTTAACATACAATATAAATATGTCTAAAATATCTCAAATATCTTATTATCTTTAATTATCTTTTCAGATCTATCCGATAGAGGCACGAAAAAGTTTGGTGATGACTGTCTGGTGGACAAAGAATGCGGCTTTGCTGGCTCCTATTGTGAATCAAAAAAGAACAAGTGCGCCTGCAAGGAAGAATTTGAAGCCACGAACCATATCGACAAGTGCGGACACGGTAAGTTGATATGCTTTCTGGTATTCTGGATCTGTATGTGGAGTTCTGCACGTGGCTCCTTTACGATTGTATATATGAAATATATGAAAACCTCCAGAGGGAATCTCAATTCATAGGGAGAAAATTGAAGTGGCTTCTCTTTCATGGAATTTCTAAGCTGCGGCATTATAAAATAGTGTCGTCTGTCAACATTATTAACGACAGCATATATTCGAAAGAAACTAACTCTAAAATGCTGTGTTAAAATATTAATATAGCTGCAATATATATATATAGTATGTGCATGAAATGTTTAGCAGATAAAAAAAATTTGACTCAAGAAAAGTAAACCATGAGCAGGGCGCAGTGCATATGCCAGTGGGATTAATTTCCATACGCGAATGCACTAGTTAAATGGGCTGGTGCTATCTCGATTGAGAATAATTCTATTTCCTTCTTGGCTAAGTTGCCATATCCATTAACAGCGATTTCGTACATGATATCACACGGTAAACCATGCAAATCTCGCAATCAAACAAGTCGACCCGATTATCGTTGTGAGTAAACTATAATGAGCTGAAGCTCAAGATTAGTGTACGCATGAGAAATAAATTCCATTCCGTTAATGAATTGACGAATGATTAGAAATTAAAAGAAAAAAATCTTTAACGTGCTTAATAGAAAAATTCTTATATATTATCTGATGTAAATAAAATAGTTTATAATATCAAATAATTTGTTGATTCTAAGAATAATACACTAAACTTAAGAAATGTTTTGTCTATTGTGTAGACAGTTTTACAAGTAGTTTATGTTTCAGAATATTTCTCTAAATTCTGTTCTCTACGGCATATTTAGAATTTCTCATTTACATTCCATAATTTACGAATTTTGAAAATTATTTTAGCTGCGAACGTGAACGAGTCCTGTTTCTTCCACGAGCAATGCGAGGCGCGGGTGATCCAAACGGAATGTCGCGATGGTCGATGCATCTGCCTCTTCGAGAAAATCCCGATGATGCAAGCGGAGGGTGTAATAATCTGCGTAGGTAAGGAAAGGAATTCTCAAGAAATGAGGATATATGATAATTTTAATGAAAATCTTGTCATGCCGACATGACTTCGACATGGTATGATGAAAATTGAAAGAGACGGAATCGACGGAATTAATGAAACTTCTCCCACTTGCTTGATATTTTTCGCACGCCAAGAATATTTTCCTTGCATGAAAATGCGGAACAAAAATAAGAAGTATTTCTGTAAGCTATGATAATCGTAGACTATTATATAAATATTAAAAAGAATAAAGAATATTTATAACATTCTAAGAATATTGTATGTTTATACAGACGGAATGTTGCGGTTAATGATTGTTTAAATTAAAAGAGATTTCTGCTCTTATTTCATTCATATTCGTTGCTAAATAGCCCATTTTCATTGTTTCTACTTTTTAAGAATAAGCATCAAATAATATTCAAATTTTTTAAATAATATTAAAATTACTTAAAATTATTAATAGAAAAATGTTAAATCAATAAAGTCAGTGAATAACAGTTCTTAATAAATATATTCTTTGTACTCACAAGGAACTTAATTACAACTCCGGAACTGATTCGATTCTTCACGAAATACATATATTGTTGAACATAAAAATCTGAGAGTCGCGTATTTCTTTTATATCAGCTCAATTTGAGATTTAAGGTGTAAAACAATCTCTCAACATTTAATTGTGGGGACAGGAAGTTTCAAAAAATTAGGCTTTTGGAAAATATAGATACGTAATTATAAAATATATTTAAAAGACCATAAAAGTTTGTTGTAAAACATTTTTTTATATATCTTATTCGTTTCCTTAATAATCGATTGGAATTAAATATAATATAAACTTTGTGGGTTTGTTTCTTTAAATTTCAAATCTTTAAATTTCATATTAGACCTATATAAATAATACCCGTGTCTTGGATTTTTGTTTAACAATATATTTTAAGGAGGATTGAATTGGACAGTTGTAATGGATCCCTTGACAGTATATATTCTTCTTCTTGTGAGTTCTCTCTTCCTATCAATAGTACGGTGCGCGTTTGACTTTTAATTCCTCTAGGGCATGTGGGATTTAATTTACGAGCTTCTAGTTCTGGGATCCCTCGTGCAAACCAACGAATTTGTTTTCAGCCGAGGTCAAAGAGTCACCCAGCCTCCAGTACATCGATCCAGCGATGATCGGCGTTCTCGTTGGCATGGCACTGATGTTCATCATCATTTGTGTCGTTCTTAGACTTTTCAGCAAGTAAGCAGTTTGATTAAGGTGTTACAAGTAATTTATATTCATTATTTATTTTTTTTTTCAAATACTTGTGTTACAAATAATTTAATTCTTATTATTTGTGTAATTTGTATCAAAATAAAGCATGCATAGACTACGATTAAATTTGCAAATTTCTCTTTAAATACAACACAACTCAATTTCAATAAATCTCTTGCATATTATTCGTAAATAATTAACATGTTAATTTAAGTTTAATCGTAGGCTGGAATTAAAATTGTATTCTGATGACAACTTTAATTGCAGTTGTCAGAATTTGAATATAGATATGCATTTAGCTCAGATGACTGTTGTTTTATTCAAGAAATTGCGATGTCGACGAGTGTTTGATAAAATAATCGTCTATTTATAAAACATTTCCATATAACACTCTGAATAATTAATGTTTCTCAAAATATTATTATATGTCATCAGTGCCATTATATGTCAATAACGTGCTTTTATTAGAAATAATGTAGTATTATTTTATGGTACTATTCATTACGAGAAATGAGTTGTTAGAATGCTTTAGCGTTTTTAAAATCAATCTCAATTTTACAAAAGTATTACTCAATTATTCGTATACCTATATCTACTAATATTATTGGGTCATTCTAAGCAGAGTCGTAAGGCTTGTAACTTGTTCTCGTAAAACTTCTTGTAAGAACTTGATTGATATTGTAATTTTATGCATATGTAATGTAAAATATACGATCATTTGTAAATATTTACAATTTCTCGTAAATCTTACGACTAGCAAGAAGCTGTTTGTAAAGATATTGCATGAAGTTATAAGTACTTGTAAGTCCTTACAAGTCTTACGGAAACATGTTATGAACTTTACGATTTTGCTTAGAAATGATTCGTACGTTTCCAGAACTTCTTATCTTTCGTGTGAAAAGCGAGATTATAATTATTTAAAAATGAAATTATATAAAAAATGTATTAAAACTATGTATAAAAATAATTATGCATAAAAATTGCCTATTTTCAAAGCTGAAATAAAAGCATTGCTATAACTCACATAATAGGTCTGTTTTTTATTACTGCATTTTCTAAAATAGTACACACAGTGCAATAAGTTGAAATGAAACACATATACATTTATTTCACTTGTATTTATTGCACTAGTTCAGAATGCAACAAGAAAAAAACAGATCTTATGTTTGTAACGAGGTAAAACCATTTTAAAATACAATTAAAAAATTTCAAGAATCGCACGTATAAGTATATCTCTGCTGTACATGTATTATAAAAGTTTTGAGAAAATAATTAAATTATTGACAAGTCGAAAAAAAGTACCTACCTCGCGAACAGTCGATCTGTTAACTATGTAACACAATGTGGAATTGCAGGGCTCGCTGGCGAGAGAACCGCACTATCTTTAATACACCCAACGCGCGATTGATGAACGTCTCGCTGCTGAGAGAGAACAAACTTTTGCACACTCAGGAGAGACGCGGCTCGAGAGCTCCATCGAGACAACCCTCGATGGCATCTTTGAGAGCCCACTCACCGAACGCCTCGCAAGGTGCGAAACACTCTCACCACTCACAGCACAGAATGAGCCGTATGGGTTTTTCATTCACTTACTAAGCAAGCAACTTGTTATTCAAAGCTCTGTTCAGATAGAGCAAGCGACTCTTTCCTATCTATTTCGCGATATTTCTGATGCAGCTTCGTGAAAATCGATGAGTCCAGAAAAAGACAGTTCTAACGATCTGCGAGTTGACTAAGATATACGTTGATAAAAAAAATTTTTAATTTAATTTAAGATAAAAAATAATATAGTTTCATTTTTAAATTATAAATAGAATTTTAAATTAAATAGATTTTAAAATAAATTGCCTGTATAGTTTTGTTTTTTAAATTGTTCTATATAATTTTTTATATTACATCCCCCCCCCCTTTTTTGACTACCTCAA